AGTGTGAGCAATAATTTTAGGGCCATTAATCACTGATAACACTAAACTGATGAGCAGTAAAAGCGTTTTAAGCGTCGCCTATGGGCCTGTGGGCGATAACCCCCCTTCCCCCCCAGTGGTGATTATATACCTCCAAAAGAAAACTCTATCTGTCCTGAAAAAATGTTAACATAAATTGCAAGGCTATAGTCCGGTCATGCTGACTGGTGACAGTGAGAGAGGAAAGGGGTGGAGAACCACAGGGTCAGCAATGGCAGCCTCCATGTAACTTTTTCAAGAGTTCCTGTAAGTTATTTCAGTTTCTATTTTTTTTGCCTCAGATTTATTTATCCATAATATTCTGATTAGAGTCATATACATGAAAAATCCCAACCTGTGTACATGGTTGTTGAATGTGAATACTAGGGATGTCCCGATACCACTTTTTCAAGACCAAGTACAAATACTTCCCCTTAGGTACTTGCCGATACTTTTTCTTAAGGGAACATGTGAAATTTTTTCTAAAACAATACAGACTATTAATTTTAGGGCCGTTTCTCACCAGGGCTGCATACAGATGTCACCAGGGCTGCGTACAGATCTCACCAGGCTGCGTTCAGAATCTGGACGCAGCCTGGTGACATCTGGACTCCAGATCCCACCAGGCTGCATATAAATCTCACCAAAGCTGCATACAGATCTTACCAGGCTGCGTACAGAATCTGGACGCAGCCCTGGTGACATATGTAGTCCAGATCTCACCAGGCTGCGTTCAGATCTCGCCAGAGCTAAATAGAGATCTCACCAGAGCTAAATACAGATCTCAGCAGGCTGAGTTCAGAATTTGGACGCAGCCTGGTGACATATGTAGTCCAGATCCAGCCAGGCTACGTCCAGATGTCACCAGGGTGCGTCCAGATGTCACCAGGGTGCGTCCAGATGTCACCAGAGCTAAATACAGATCTCACCAGAGCTAAATACAGATCTCACCAGGCGGCGTTCAGAATCTAGACACAGCCTGGTGACATCTGGATACAGCCTGGTGACAACTCGGCTACAGATCTCACCAGGCTGCATACAAATCTCACCAAAGCTGTGTACAGATCTCACCAGGCTGCGTACAGAATCTGTACGCAGCCTGGTGAGATCTGTACGCAGCCTGGTGACATATGTAATGCAGAGCCCACCAAGCTGCGTTCAGATCTCACCAGGCTGCGTTCAGATCTCACCAGGCTGCGTCCAGATGTCACCAAGGCTGCGTCCAGATCCCACCAAGGCTGCGTCCAGATCCCACCAAGGCTGCGTCCAGATGTCACCAAGGCTGCGTCCAGATGTCTCCAAGGCCGCGTCCAGATGTCACCACGCTGCCTCCAGATCTCACCAGGGTTGCCTCCAGATCTGCGTCCAGACCACAGGGTACCCCTGTTGTCTCTGGGGTGCCTCTTGCATTCTTTCTCTTTGCTCACTTGTCACTTTCTTTTTCTCTTTCTTCTCTAGTTCTATACTTTTCCTTGTTCACTCTCGGGTGCCCCTTGGAGGGTCCCAGTTTGGAAGATGGTGTCCAGGTTCTTTGGGGTATGTCGGGTGTTGCTGCAGATTGGTCTGTGGTGCAGGCCCTGCAGGGCCCATACCACTAGGGTTAAACAGGTTTGGCCTTCTGAAGTGGCTTAGCCTGGACAGTCTCCTAATACACGACCATGGACCGGTCATAGAATTATTGCATAGGAGCTGAACTTTGCTTTGCTACATGACTATTGTGGCTGTGTTTTCTGCTGACACTCTCTATCTGGGAGTCTTCTTTCTGACTGGCCTTTCTTCTGTAATGTTTTAAATGCTCAAGAAAACTTTTAATATTTAGAAAAAAATATACATACTTGAAATACAACAACCAGCAAGCACCATTGGTTACATTTACAGAACTGTGCAGTGCATTATAGCCTGATTACTCCTTCCACTGTCACTTTAATTGTTGATGTGCAGGGGATAAGAGGAAGCTACCACAAAAACAGTAACACTAAGGTACTATTTAAAAATATATCTAAGCACCCAGGTTTAAATTAATTTATAATTGGATTACATGGGGGCATTTTATAACTTCCTTACACACTCCAATTACTGAAACATAGCTGTCTGTTTCATTCTGCAAGGTATGTGCTGTAATATGCTTGAGCTAAGACATGTCATGGATGGCATTTGTTAAGTACTCGGCAACTGCTTGACAAACATACAGGGGAGCAGGCTGAGCAATCAAGCCCACGCTCTCTAGTGTCTAGCCAACTCAAATTGAATCTGATAGCTGCTAAGATGTTCCCAATGTTGTTTGTAAAGCACTATGACTTTCACTTCATAATCATAGGCGTGCTCATGGGCACACCCTTATCACCCCAAGCATAGGGTTGCCACCTGTCCAGGATTTACCACCTGTACGGGATTGTCCAGGTTTTGAGACCTGTATGTGCTGTGTCCGGATTTCAGGCAAGCTGAAACCCGGACACAAGATGTCACAATGTCAGGCGGACAGGGGAAACCGCAAGGAGGTGCCTGAAACCCAGGGTGCAGATAAGTCTTGAAAGGCGCACACTACTGGCGGTCTCTCTTCGTCTCCCCTTGCTGTCTCTCTTAGCTGTCTCTCCTTGCTCATCCTCCTGGCTGTCTCTCCTGGCTTTCTCTCCTCTCTCTCTCCTGGCCGTCTCTCCTCACTTGCTCTCCTGGCTGTCTCTTCTTGCTCTTTCTCCTTGCTCTCTCCCCTGGTTGTCTCTCTTCGATCTCTCTCCTGGCTGTCTCTCCTCACTCTCTCCCCTGGCTGTCTCTCCTCGCCATCTCTCTTTTTTTCCTCTTGGTGTCACTCCTCGCTCTCTGCGCTGGTTGTCTCTTCTCGTTCTCTCTCCTGGTTGTCTCTCCTCGCTCTCTCCTGTATTATCCCCCAAAAAACTGTGGCGTGGCGCTAGAATGTTTGGGTTTTGCTTGAAGAAAAGGTGGCAACGCTACCCAAGCGCAACGCTGAAACCACAACAACATCTGGCGTCGTGTTTTTGGTCACTGAGCCAGTGGAGACATCACAAAAATCTGCCTGTGACTGGCTCAGCGATACAGACAGCCACTTACATTCCTCACATCACAGCCGCAGTCCTTGGTGCCTGGGAAGCTGCAAGGGAGTGTGGCATTGAATCTGCTACCCTGGTCTTGGTATTTAAACTATGGGTCAGTATTGTAGTGGAATGCTACAGTACACAAATGACGTGAGATATATGGCATGAGGCGGTCCGTTTGTTGTCTAGTACATTGAATACTGATAAAATATGTGTTTGCCTAAGGCCTGTTAGTTGGCAGACATCAGTGTTAATTATAATAAACCAGTAGAATTTCAGGTGATTACTTGCTGTATAATCCGACCAAAACCTGCGATTCCACATTACATGGACTGGTGAGATGTTTTCCTTGTGAAATAACTTGCACCACATCCACAACTAATTACCTACAGGCTTCTTATTTCCTAACCTGATTTTTTACCTTTTGAAACATGCTGCACAATATTAAAGAGACACATTCCCCTGGAATTCATAAAGAGTGTTGTAAAAACTCATTAGAAATCTGTCTCCCATCAGTGCAACAAATGGCGCAGCATGCAACAGATTCATGGAACTGTCAATAAGGTGTATATAAATCTGTTGTAGAAATGTCTCAGGCATAATTTTGTTACTTACACATGCAAGACAATTTACTCCAACATGGAAGAGGTCTTATTTACCTCCACTTTTCTTTTCAATAATATGGCGGTATTTCTTAATGAATTTATTGCACCCATAGTGCCAGAATGTAAAAGTGTTGCACCTAAGAACACACAAATAGCAGAAAACTTTTGCACAACTTTTATGAATTTGGCGCCGGTTTCTCTCATACAGACATAATGCCAGAAAAGTGTGGCAAATGCTTTATTGAATCGGCCCCAATGTGAGCACACAACTAACCATTAAGATTTAACTCATTCATTAATTTTGTTTTTTAATTCATAACCATCTATGCCATCATTTAATCTTTAGGGCTTGTTTATGGTGCACAGAGCTGTGTTAATTAGGATCTATAAAGCTGGCCATACACCTATAGATTTTCTGCAGATTTTCTAGATGGAAAAAGTGCAACAGATTCCTCCATCTACGCTAAACTGTTTGGATGGAGGAATCTAGCGCTGGGCCAAGCGTCAGTATCTTCCTAATCAGCCCAGCTGGCTGTCAAATACCTGAACAATCTGATTGGATGCAGGCATTGGTCAGTTGTTTTGAGAGCCAGTGGGGCCGACTAGCAAGATACTGAAACTTGGCCCAGTGGGTGATTCCTCCATCCACGCAGCACGCATTTTACAGGCCATAATGCATGCTCACTGGTGTAAATGGGCCCTTACATTACATATTTGTGACAAATGTATCATAACACCATTTCCGATCATTAGAGGGAGAATTTACAAAATTAAGCTGCAAACTCAAAATAGTAAATTTGTCTAAACAGTTGGACGATACCTAGATTTAGCTACATTGTTGCATGAGCGGTTTCAATTTGCCTCACTGCTGGGAGAACTGTTAATATGCAAAGAAGACCTATCTATCTGAAATCCTAGTTTATGTAATCTCCATACCTCTAGCAATCATACAAAGATAGAAGAATTTAAAAAAACAATTAGCTCTGCGTAGCCACACCAACGCCCCAGCATGTCATGACTGTCAATAGCTGGGGCATATAAAAGTCAAAGAAACCCTGTTTATCAGACTGAATTTTAAATGAAGCCTAAATTATATATTAAAAGATATAAAGAGCAGAAATCAATAATCCAATCTCCTGCCTGAAGTTTATATGTGTTTTCACTAGAGATAAGTAGAGGAGGTTATTAGGTGGGTACATGGACAATCATAGTAAGAGAAAAAAAAGCCTTCCTTCCTTACCCCTCTTGTGCTCTCCTCATCTTTCCTTCTTCTTCAGTCCTCGAAATAATATACTGCATCTTCTGACAATAGCTTCTGTGCTTACAGGTGGCAGGCAGTCTAAATATGCAATGAATGCTTTTGAAGTCTTTGACATTGAAACCCGTTCCTGGACAAAGTTCCCCAGTATACCAAACAAAAGAGCCTACTCAAGATATGTGCTAAATGATGACTCCATCTACAGTTTAGGAGGACTGCGACAAGGAGGTACATACCGCAGGCCAAAATTTACCAAGACTGTGGATATATTTAATATGGAGCAAGGTAAGAAAATACTGTTGTTGCCCAGGTATTACAGTACAGCACATTATGAAAGGCAGTACTGAGAGCAAAGCAATGCTTCAGAAGGATTTGTGTACAGTACAACTAATTCAGGCTGCTGCTCCTACAGGGTGACTTTCATTTGCTAACACATGGAGATCACTCTGTAGTACAGGAAGTGTCATACAGCAGGCTAACACACATTACTACTTATGTAAGTTCCCTGCTATAGGTTTGTACTTAAGTTGGATTTGTATGTAAGTCGCAACAGGTACATTTAAAAAAAAAAAAACAATAAGTGATCAGCGCCAGTAAATAAATACAAATAAGAGCTACTAAGCACTCAAGATAAATAAAAAATATCTAAAAGGATGTAAGACAATCATGTGCCGAGCTAAATAAGTACAATTCAGTGAAATATCTGATGAACAATTAAATATATGAGTAATGCTTTAAAAATATATACAGAAGAGCATATCAAAACATGAAAATATGTGAACAAAGTTACAAAACACAAAGTCCAATGTGCAGCAATTAAAATCGTGCAAATAAATGCAGGGGATAATCCACCACAGGATAGATCCAAACTTCCAAGTAATCAGTTTCTACAGAATCCTGACAGACCTTCACCTCCACCCAGTGAATGCAAAATTGAAACAGTGCTCACCTGGGGAAATAGACCCACAGAACTAGGAGTCCCTTTGCACCCATAGATTTGTACTGTGGTGTCCATTGGATATTTGTTTTATGCCTTTTGTCTCCTGTGACATTGTGACTAACTGCTTTTATTTAATAAATTGCATTTATTTGGAGGAAACACACTATGTCCTCTTCATATTGTATTTCCCTTTGAAATGATGATGTTATTTGCGAGCGGAGGAGGTCACCTGGTCTTCAGTCATACAGGCTTCCCTCCCCTATTTAGAAGGGAAACGCGCCTTTAGACCTATTTCTGTGGGTCTATGGGTTTATTCTGTGGGTTTATTTTATTCTGTGGGTTTATCTAATTCTGCCACCTTCTGGATTTCCTTCTCCAAAAATGTCCTGATAACCTTTATGAGCAAACCTCTTTTTTATCATTTCTGATTGAACTCTAAAAATCAACCTCACTATGGCAATTTCTCCTGATCCGCATGATCTGACCTCTAGGAATATTGCGAAGCCAAGTAGGATGATGGCAACTGACAGAAGGAATGTAACTATTCCTGTCAGTCTCTTTAAAGTGGGTTCTGGACAACAGCCTATCCCCCTCTGCATACATTTCCAAATCCAAGAACTGGATGACCTTAAACTGAATGTTGTAAGTTAACTTAATGTTTTTGTCATTGGAATTGAGATAACTCTGAAAGAAATCTAGGTCAGCCCTGTTACCTTTCCAGATCATGAAAATGTAATCTATGTAGCGTTTAACCATTTCGCTGCCAAGCCCTCCGGAACATTTTTCAAATCAGCTGGCCAAGCCATTTTTGCATTTTTTGCAATTTTTTCCTATTGATTTGATTTTCAACTGCTGCGTTGCTAGCGTTTGTAAAAGATTTTTTTTTATCCCCGTTGCCACAGCCCCTATAAGCGGGGGACAGACCATCCTGAATTGCGGCCAGCCGCCGCTTGCTCCCCCGACCCTCACGCCCCTCCCGCCGGTGATTTTTTTACAGATCCCCGCTGCCACAGATCCTACAAGCAGCGGGGATCCATGGAGTCTCTCATCCCTTCCTGGGGTGGCTCCAGGGAGGGATGAGAGACTCCAGATGCCGGCGGCCGGCAACAGCGGTGCCGTCGGGGGGGCGCCCGGTATTTTCGGTAATAGCTGTCATCAGCGGCTTGTGAGCCACTGATGACAGCTATTATTTTGAAGGGGACAGTCTTCTGAACAGTTCTGCTATAAGCTTATGGTCGCTAAATCGACCATGAGCTTATAGCAGAACTGTAAATGCCACCGACGTAAGGCATACTGAGCTGGCCAGCCGGGAACACTTTTGTTCCGCCGTATGCCTTACGTTGGTGGCAGCGAAAGGTTTAAAATAAATTAAATGTACCGTTTTTTTCTCCAGAATAGTCTCTGATTCCCACTTATGCATGAAGGCGTTAGCCACACTGGGTGCAAATTTTGCACCCATGGCAACGCCCATTTTTTGTCTGTAAAATTTCTCTCCAAACCAAAAATAGTTACGAGACAGACTGAAGCTAAGGGCTTCTAGAATGAATTCTTTTTGTTCTATAGGTAAGGACATATCCTTCTGTAATAGTCATTTATTGGCTGATAAGGCCTCTATATGGTCAATAATGGTATACAGAGATGCCACATCAGCAGTAATCAGGAGACTGAATCAAAAGGTATAAGCTCAAGCTCTTGTAGTAAGTGCTTGGTGTCCATAAGATAAGTGGAACTCTGCTGTATGAGGGGTTGGAGAAATAAATCCACATATTCTTCTAATCTATTGGTGACAGAACCAATACCATTTACTATAGGACGTCCTGGTGGCTTCTCTTGATTCTTATGAATCTTCGGTAAATAGTAAATGATAGGGATCCGGCTCAGTGATGGTACCAAGTACTTGGCTTCTTTTTTATTCAGGAACCCAATCCGACTCCCTTTTTTAATAAGTGAAGACAACTCTCTTTGATACAGCATAGTGGGATCTTTTCTAAGCACCTCATAGGTGTCTCCATCCGCTAAAAGACGGTGTATTTCTGCATAGTAATCTGATTAATCTAGCACCACTATGGCGCCCCCCTTTTCCGCGGGCCTAATGACTATATCTTTCCTTTGTTCTAATTGTTTAATGCCTTTGGTAATATGGAATGGTAACCGTCTAGGTTTAGGGGACAATGTCTCAATATCCTTATTGACCATGTTTCTAAACACCTCTACATATTTGTTATTCCCAATCAAAAGGTTAAATGTGGATCTGTTAGCTAATGTGGTGTGTACAAACCTAGTTGATATATTATTGGTGATGTTTTTACATCGACCTGACAAAAAAATATTTCTTTAAATTCAATGAGCGCGTGAATTTATGCACAGAAATATAGGTCTCAAACTTAAGATTTTTTTGTAGGAGCATATTTTAAACCATTATCTAAAAGTGATAGTTCATCTGGACTGAGAGACGATGAACTCAAATTAAAAATGCCTTCTCCTAAAAGTCTCTTTTCTTTCTTTTGTCGCCTGCAGTCACTAAATCCCCTTCTCTGCCCCACCAAGGTTTCCTTTTCTCATCTCCCCATCCCTGGGTGGCCTCTGTTCTTCCCTAAAAAAGGACCCCCCACATCCTCTTCAGAGTTCCTATTAGCCAAAGGGGAGAAATGATTGTAATATGGAATGCTATCTCTCTGCGTGGCATATTGCGATCCATAGAATTGCTTCTGGGGTCTAAAATGGCCTCTATTGTTCCAGGAACTAAATCTCTGGTTCTGCCTAGGCACCCTATGCTGGTGGTTGATTTCTAGGCGGCAGCCTAAATGTATCTCTCCTTTCAGGTAAGAAGAGGAATCACCAGCACTCAGTAGAACAATCCAACATGTCCATTTATTGGACATAGATGTCACACAATCACAAGAGCCAACGTTTCGAGACCATGCAGGGTCTCTTCATCAGGGCATAAAGAGTGACAATACACTGACATTTGATAACCACATATATACCTCATGAGGCTAACCAATAATCAAAAGCAACACCCCCCTGTGACATCATAATTGCGGGAAAAGCGGCCATTTTCAAACATATACAAAAATAAACAATGAAATACCAGCTTAAGAAACATAAATCATACCCATTGCAACCAGGGTCCAGTTCCAGAGTGTGGTTAAGATCCGGTTCAGGGATGCAGATAAATCAGATGCAGGCGCTGGAGTGGCCAAAGAGAGACAGGATATCACAAACCGGAGATTGTGCCGTGAGTCTCCGCCCCTGGTTCTAGTGCGCCGGCGCAGAGAATCCGCGTCATCCATTGTCATGGTGACCGGAGACAGCATCAACGCTGATTGGTGTAGTCGCAAAGCGCAATACTGGGGACAGTGAACTCGAGCAGTCAAGTCGAGTGTGGCAAACCAGAGAGCATACGACCAGTGCCGGCGCAGATAGACCGCATCACCCATCACCATGGTGACCGGGAGCGGCATCGTAACTAATTCTGATGTCAACAAAGCATATGAGTGGAAATAACACATTTGGGCAGCTGAGTCAAGTGTGGGAAAACGAGCAATAGCATAAATAAAGTCAAGTGTGGGAATGCGAGTAATAGCATAAAATAACGCTGCAACCTGAAAGAATTACGACCCAGAACCATCAACCTAGGCAATAAGCTGGTAATATAGATAACTATAATAGGTGACAAGTGCAACATACAGACACTACGGACTAGAAAAAACAGAGTGACAAAGAGAATCATAATATCAAAAATCAAATATCAATCATAGATATTCCACTTACCTGGCATAGAGATATAGGTAGATGATCAATATAAAAATATACATATCGGGTATCAATATAAAAATAGTACTATCTATATAAAAAATAAGCATATAAATCTTCGGTACAAAAATATGACTAAATCTTTAACACAGACCATCCACCATATATCGCCAATTTGCAAAGGTCAAATGGAAAATAACAATGAGGGGTCAGCACACTTGCAACAAAATAAAGAAAAATAGGAGTTTATAAAGGGGAAACAGACGGGGGATAAAGCCACACAGTACTGCCCTAGTCAGTCAAAAAACAGGACAGAGATAGGGCAGTATTTAAACCTCTAGGTTTTACTGTACTTAACGTATGGATCCAATAGGCTTCTCGACGTAACAGAATATTGTTCCTGTCACCACCACGGTTAGGTTTTGAAGCACATATTCGATCACCATTGCCCTAAGCTCGTGTATCTGGTGATTCAATTGGGCAAAGTGTATTGCCACTGGTTTATTTGGATCAAGGTCTTTACCTAATCGTTTGTATTCAATCGCTAATTTAATGTCACTTTTGTACTTTTGGTAACGTTTTTTGAAAG